CGTTCTTTGCTGTAAATCTCTGATTCACTTTCTAATACTCTGGATTTTAAATCAGTCTGTGGCAAGCTCACAATCATACTTGGTAAAAGGTTTTCAAAAGGAGCTCTGAACTACTGGGGCTCTGGACCTTTTTGATTTTATTAAATAGGGTTGGTGACATTTAACCCTCTTCCTCCCTTTTGATTGTCTTTGCAGAGCTTGCTGAAACTAGAAAGGCTAACTCATCTTGCTAGCTATCCATCAGTCGTTTGGAGACAGAAGGTCACAAAATGCTTTTGCTTTTAAGGACAAAAGAATATTGCTCATGAGATTTTTATTTTTTGGCACGTAACTAGCTGCTGTGGCCAGTCGCGAAAGAAATTTCTGTGATTTTAATGGTACAGAAGCATGTAATAATCAGGAGATATTAAATATGTCACATTATGGGTGAGCTAATAGTGATGCAGCTAATGAAGTCAAGAAACACTGATATCCTAAATCCTCAAACTAGGTGGGTCTGGTAGGTTCTCCTACCTTGGCACTTTTTATGGTGGGTCTTGACACTGTTTCAGTTGGACTACAAAATAGAAGTCATTTCATAAAACTTTAAAGACATGATCTGTTCAGTTTACTAGATTGACATTTGCACTAATGGTAGATAAAATCGCTTGTACCTTAGGGCCAGTCTAGGCAGTGGCACCAAACTGTCCCCATAGTCATTGTATTCTTCTCTACCAGGCACTGCAGTATAATTTGTGATTATCGTTATGTCCTGCCCTGACCCATTCGTCATGACTTTCTCAATTATTCAAACATGTTTTATCAATGAAAATTTACACTTTAGATTAATAAATGCTGGCTCTTGAGGAAAAGCACTCATACAATTGTTTGAGTTCCAAGCTCAAGTAGCTGCTTTTTCTTTCTTTCTCTTTTTTTTTTTTTTAAAAAAATATGTTTTTCAATGATTTTAGAGAGGGAGATAGGGAGAGGGAGAAAGAGAAACATTGGCTGCCTTATGCATACCCCCTACCGGCGATCAAGCCTGCAGCCCCGTGAATGTGCCCTGATATGGAATCAAACCTTCAACTTCTCGGTGCATGGGACCACACTCAACCAACTGAGCCACACTGGCCAGAGCAACTAGCCGCTTTTTCCATGTAACACCATATTTATTGGAAGAATGATCGACAGCTTGTGTATTTGACAGACATTTTTCTCAAACATGAGAAGCTTGAGTCTGACACTTCAAGGGAAACAACATGCAGTATTTACGGCCAATGATAAAATTTCAGCTTTTACTGTAAGTGAAAATTAATATTTTGTAAAATTTGCATCTACTACCATGAATTTGACAGCTTGGCAATACTTAAAGACTTTTCAAATGAGATCATTAGTGATGTGAACAAATGTAATTTTTTGATATTGTATGATAGAAGTGCCAACATTTCAAGATCTACTTGTATTTTCCAAAAGGCCAATGCATAATGTTACAAAATTTGAATTGTGATAAAGACCAATGGATTTTAATGTACTGGTTTTAGATTCCACATTGAATCTAACCATTAAAAAACTATCACTTGTTGAAGTTTGATGTAATATCAAAGAATAGCCACAATGTTCTTAAATGGCTATAAAATACTTCTCTTTTTTTTTTTGCTCTTTTTTCAATTACATATATGTGTGAGGCTAAATTTTCTTCATATACTTCAACCCAAAGCACACATTGTAACAGACTGAATACTCAAGTGGATTTATAATCCACTCATCTATCTTAAATCAGACATTAAGAAGACAGGCAAAGCCCTGGCCTGGTGGCTTAGTTGGTTGGAGTATCATCCCACACACCAAAAGATTGTGGGTTTGATTTCTGGTCGGGGCACATACCTAGGTTTCGGGTTTGATCCCCAGTTGGGGCGTGTATAGGAGGCAGCTAATTGATGCTTTCCTCTCACATCAAAGTTTTTTTTTCTCTCTTTTCCACTCCTCTCTCTTTAAAAATCAACAAAAACATATCTTTGGCTGAGGATTTAAAAAAAAAAGATAGGAAAAAATGTGAAACAATGTCACTCTTCTCACTGACATTTTTGTTTGAGAAATATAGTTATTTTCATAAGAACATGTTATTTATATTAATATGCAATTGGGTTAATTGTTAGTAAATTCTTCATAAAAATCTCACTGCTATTTATTTTTAATCCTCACCTCAGGATATGTTTTTTATTGAGAGAGAAAAAGAGAGAAAGAGAGAGAGAGGAACATCAACGTGAGAGAGAAACACGGGATGGTTGCCTTCTGTAGGCCCCCAACCGAGGACCAAACCCAAACCTTTTGGTGTACAGGACAACGCTCCAACCACCTGAACCACCTGGCCAGGGCATCACTGCTTTTTTATGTTTTTCACAGCGCCTAAGACAGTGCTGGACTTAATAGATGCTCAGTAAATATGAACAGAATCAATGTGAACTTCTTTACCAACTTTACAGGCTGTGTTTCTGTGGCTGTGGCCTTTGTAGCAAAGACGGCCCCTGAGTATAAGGCACAGCTCACCAATTCCAAGACATGTTCTTGGAAGACTGTGTAACTGAAAATGTAAAACATCTAACTACTTGCCTGTTGGCATTTATCACTTCATAACATCCTCAGTTTGCTTATCATTGATGTGATGACTGACATGTTCACTTTGGTTTCTGTTTCTATTTATCAAGGTTAGTGATCAAACACTCAACCTGAAGAAGTTTAAATCACTGCTGAAAAAAAGATACAAAAATCCTTCTCTTCAAGAAATTTACAAGTGAAGGTGATTATTCTTTTTAGAAAGAATTTATTGGGGCTGTGGTAGGTGGGTGCAGTACAAAGTCTTACAAGATGGGGACCTTACCCTCTAAAATCTCCTTGTGTGGTGGGAAACACAAGTCTGATCAATGTGTGTGGAAGCAGAAACATTACATTTGGAATCCGATACTCTGAGAGCACTATCATTTGATTAACTCTTGTTATTGTGAGCTTCTGTGGGAGGAGGACAAAATTGTAACAGCCATCTCAACGACCAAAAACTTCTCTGGGTTAAATTTTTTTTTTTTTTTTTTTTTTTTTTTAGAAAAAGACATAGAGTGGTAGAATTCAAGTGAATACAACTACTGCTGATAGCAGTAATGACAGTTGTAAAATTCAACAACTTAATTTTAATTAACAGTAAGTATAATCTGTGACTACCTTCATGTCTTCCCCTAGCCATGTGTCATGACTTTCTAAAATCTCTTGAAGCATGGTTTACAGACAGAAGTTTACATTTTAATCTTGGTTTGGTGGTGATGAACTCCTTTAGCTTTCCCTAATCTGTGAAGCTCTTTATCTGACCTTCCGTTCTGAATGATAGCTTTGCTGGATAAAGTAATCTTGGTTGTAGGTTCTTGGTATTCATCACTTTGAATATTTCTTGCCACTCCCTTCTGGCCTGCAAAGTTTCTGTTGAGAAATCAGCTGACAGTCGTATGGGTATTCCCTTGTAGGTAACTGGGTTTCTTTCTCTTGCTGCTTTTAAGATTCTCTCTTTGTCTTTTGCTCTTGGCATTTTAATTATGATGTGTCTTGGTGTGGTCCTCTTTGGATTCCTTTTGTTTGGGGTTCTCTGCACTTCCTGGACCTGTAAGTCTATTTCTTTCACCAGGTGGGGGAAGTTTTCTGTCATTATTTCTTCAAATAGGTTTTCAATATCTTGCTCTCTCTCATCTTCTGGCACCCCTATAATTAGGATGTTGGTACGCTTGAAGCTGTCCCAGAGGCTCCTTACACTATCTTCATATTTTCGGATTCTTTTTTCATTTTGCTTTTCTAGTTGGGTGTTTTTTGCTTCTTTGTGTTTTGAATCTTTGACTTGATTCTTGCGCTCCTCTGGTCTGCTGTTGGGTGTCTGTATAATATTCTTTATTTCAGTCAGTGTATGCTTAATTTCTAGTTGGTTCTTTATCATAACATCGAGGGTCTCATTAGATTTCTTGAGGATCTCACTACATTTATCGGCGGTCTCACCAGTCTTTTCGAGGGCCTTACTAAGTTTATCGGCAGCTTCTAGACAGTTCTTTTTTTTTTTTTTTTTTTTTTTTTTTTATATTTATATGTTTATTGTAACATTTTTTACAATAGCCAAAATATGGAAGCAACTTAAGCGTCCATCAATACACAAACAGATAATGAAGTGGTGCATATATACAATGGGGCAAAAGTAGCTTTATGGTTGTTCATATGGAAAATAATTAATAAATAAAAATATAAGAATAAATTGTTTTGCACACTCACAACTGTAAACCTACTTTTGCCCCACCCTACATAATGGAATATGATTCAGCCATAAAAAAAGAATGAAATCTTGCCATCCACACAACATGGATCCACAACAAGAGGGTACTGTGCTGAGTGAAATAAGTCAGACAAAGAAAGACAAATGCCAAATGATTTCACTTACATGTGGAATCTAAAAAACAAAATAAACAAGCAGAACTGAAACAGACTCATAGATATAGAGGACATTTTGTGGGTTGTCAAAGGGGAGGGAGCTTAGGGGATGGGTGAAAAAGGTAAAAGGATTTAGAAGTACAAACTGGTATAGAATAGTCACAGGGATATAAAGTACTAATATAATATTGTACATCAACTATAATTTAAAAATAAAAATATAATGAAATGAAATGAATTAACAAAAGCAAACAAACATACTAATGACTTTCTGCAAATTACTTTGTTAGAACCTTGGAAATAACATGACTCACATCTGGTATTAACATATGTCAGATGCTAGGACAAAAAAAGCAAAACAAACAAAAAGAGCTAATATTGAAACACATTCCCTAACAGCCTACCATTGAATCTCTTTCTGACATTTATATAAATTTCTTAGCTTAGGTGCCACTGGATCTACGTAAGCATCACTCTTAAATTAACATAAAATATTTTTGCTGAAAATTTTCATAAACTATAGAGGACAGAAATTGGAATGTAAAAGCATTCTAAAACAAAGAACATTTATGTATATTAAATAAAATTGCCATTTACTTTTTACAAGACTGCCACAGACACATGAAGTTGTGTCCAGGTTTTCTCACTGAATCCCCATGTTGACTAGATGCACTGAATGGAGAAGGCTGAGAACTGTTAGGCTGGCTCTGCACTTGTACAGCTGGTGAAGGCGTCATAGGAGTGTTCTGTGGGACCACATTCTGTATGTATGATGATGGCTGCTGCTGCTTTTGCTGAACAGCACTTTCTATTGCTACTTTAGCTACAGTGCTTGGATCTGCTCCTGCTGGCACAGCAACCATTGTTGCACTGCAGCCAGCATTGTTGGGGTCACTGATTGTAACAATTCTAACACCTACTTTATTTGGAATTCCTGTGACTGTTTCCCTATCATTATCCTCTGCTGGCCTCTTTACAGTTTTGCATTCTGCTGTGCCATTTGTAGACCGAACATCAGATGGTAGGGCAGGAGAATGGGACACTCTTGATCCTGAGTGGGGAACTATAATTTGATGCCCCTGTATGACAGAGGTTGTAGAATGTGGTGAGACAACCACACTTGGGCGTTGCTGAGGCACATCTGAATTCAAACTTGAAGTTAGAGGTCCATTAGGCAAATCAGTACCACTAAATTGCTGTGTTGCCACATTTGAAGTCTCCTGTATACTGCTCACAGATGATGAACCACCCAAAGTTAATACAGGTCCATTAGAAATTCTTTCTAGTTGATCACCTTTGGCAGTATCTTGCTGAGTGGCATCTAGTGTCCCTTGTGGTTCCATTGGAGATATCTCACCATTTCCTACATGATTGGAAGTTTTGTGATTTGGAATGTTTTTGCTTAAATGAGAACCATCTCCTTTATCAAAATCACAGATTCCATTAACTAAAGGTTTTCTCAAATCACTTTTGATATCCTGCATGTCCACTTGTTCTGAGTTCTGTTTTCCAGATGCTCCATTTTCACCTAATTCTAATGATGGCCCATTACTAATTAGTGAGCACTGATTAGCCTCACTTTGAATTTTCCCTGAGTTTGAAGGAGGTAGACTTGAGTCACTGTACTTTCTCCCATTTAAAAGACTTCCCACCTGCATTTCATTTTCTTTTGTATCCCCATTGCTGGTGTTCATGGTTCCTCGTCTGCAGGACGGGTTCTCCATGACTTCAATTTTACGTTCATGAACATGTAAACCTGTTGCTTCTTTTGCTTCCTCCTCCTTTTGGCAAATTATTTTATCACCTTTGAATGGGGGAGTAGCAGTAGTACAAGATGATTGTCCAGCTGGAGATGCTTGACTGGCTGGAAGTGTTTGCACCTGAAGTCCAACTCCTGCCTGGGTCCCGCTCATGGTAATTCCTGCTGGAGCAATTAGCTGAGTTCCATTTCCCTGACTCACAGTTGCAGTTGCAAAACTTGTATTTGGCACAACTGTTATGGTTACCTGGTTGCCTGAAGTCCCTTGGAAAATGGTTGCTGGGCTATTTGAGATCAGTGGACCTGGCAATATTTGTAAGTTCGAGATGGGCACGGTTTGCACTCCCCCTGTGGATGGCATTGCACCTTGGACCAACTGAACATTTTGCTGCCCAACTAACAGCTGCTGTGCTGGAGTTTGCCCCTGCATTCCAAAACCTGCTGCTTGGTTATTGGCCACCTGGTATACCACCTGAGGGCTAGGCGCTCTTGCATTATTAGGGGGAGGAACCTGTGGAGCTGGGAGAATAAGCTTACCACCTGGAGTTGAAGGACCACGTTTTGGAAGCAGCAACTGTTTTATTAGGCTTGACTCACCAGAAGCAGGCTGACCAACTGCATTTGTTTGCTGTGGTTGAACTTGCATCTGTACTTGTGGCTGCTGAACTTGTACTTGTACCTGCTGAGGTGGAGGTGCTGGTGAATGCTGCTGCTGCTGTCTTTTCACAGATAGCATTTGACTGACAGTAGGAGGTGGTCCCTGTGATTGAGGGGTGGAAGAAGATGACATGACAGTAGGGACTTGGTTATTAGAAGCTGGGACAGGTGATGGTGAGGAAGATGGAGTTATGTTTGGTTGTCCAGTTAGCTGAACTGTCTGACCAGCTGGAAGAGCTGCTGGATTAGCAAGAACAATTTGGTGAATGGCTGGTGCATAAGTCTGACCTTGTTGAGCTGGCTGGCTTACAATCACTACACTTTGTTGGGTTGGCTGCTGTGGTTGTTGAATAGGCTGTTGTACCACCGTTGATGAAACTTGCTGAGAAGGGAGAGGTTTTGGTGCAATATTCTGAAACCCTACCCTTGAGGGTTGTGGACTTGGGACACCAGCAATAGTAACCATTTGTCCTGTAGCTACCTGAAAATTCTGTACTGAAGTTGCTGAGACAATATTAGATGCAGAAGTTGTTACATACTGTGGGGGTGCTATGATAACAGTGTCTTGTGGCTGGCTACCAGCTGATGTCTGTTGAGATGAAGTTTGCACAGGTTGGGGTGATGTGGTGATCAACTGTTGACCCTGTGAAACTGTAGAAGTACATGCTGGCATGGTCTGTACTCTGCCAAAGATATGACTCTGTGGGACAGTTTGTTGAATTACAGTAACAGGAGTGCCAGAAGGTATCTGACCTGGTACCACGGTATGTAATGGAGACTGTTGTGGAATTACAGATGGATGATGAAGCAATGTCTGGGAATTTACAACTGTAACAGGCTGTGGCCCTGTACTATGATTCTGAACCACAGAACTCTGTGCAGCTCCTCCTCCTACAGCAATACTAACAGGAACTGCCGTCTGGGGTATAGAATTCTGGATCATTGTAGCCTTAACAACTTCACAAGGAATTGGAGCTTTATTTTGAATGACAGTCACCGGAGCATTTTGTTGCTGGTGGGTATGAACTGAAGGATTTGGTGGAATTCTTGAAACAGTCTGTGCCATAGTATGAACACCTTGTACTGGAAAAGACATTTGTGTTGCAGTCAAATTTGAAGATTGATTGGTAACAGGAGTCCTCTGAAAATGGTTTCCTACAGTTTGTGGTCCATGAGGGATTCCTGCAGGTGAAGGACTTGTAGATATATCAGGAACAGAATCAACACGAACAACAGGAGTAGAAACTGGTTGCTGCTGATAGTACATCTGAATGGGAAGTGGTATAGCCCTCCGTTTTACTCCTACTACATGAATATGCGCCTGCCCACTATTACTGGAATCCTCCACTCTCTTCACTGAATGATTTGGAAACACCGTTCTAAGACATTTATAAAATCCAGTTGATGTTAGGATTCCACCACGAGCTAATTTACTGCAAGTTGAGAGGTACTCAGAATACATTTCTGCTCGAGAGACAGAACAATCTGGATTTACTTCAAAATGAGCATTTAGCCACTGACAAGCAAACTTCTCACTATCTATTTCCACTATTCCTGGAGGTGGAGCAACATGCTGTGCTACAACTGCTCTGGAAGCTGGGGCAGCTGCTACATGGATCTGGGTTTGAACTTGCTCTACAGCTTGCGTCCTAATTTCAGATAAAACTTGATGACTGGAACTTGGATGTTCAACGAGTTTTACTGCAGCTAGTGCATCAGGGCCAAACATTTGAATATCCATAGAAACTAGACATACTAACATGTCTATGCTCTTTTCTACTTTAGCAATTTTTGTACAAGCTACATCTCCCATTTCTGTGAGCATATATAGCACCTCGAGTGTTGAGATTACGAGCAGTACATCAGGTAAAGTGAGATGACAAATGATCTCTCTGTATGAGTCCTGATCGACATATTCACAAATCAAAACACCATTATCTTCTGCTTTGCAAAGATTTCCCAAAATTTCCATGCCCCTCATCTTTAAAAATCTATCCCTTGACATTAGGCATTTTGTAACAGTATGAAACATCAGATGAGTAGTTTTGAAATCAACAGGATCCAATAAAAGCTCAGCTGCAATATTTCCTAATGTGTCAAGGCCTAATTGCCTTAGGGAAATAAAATGACTATGTGCAGAAAGTAATAGGAAACGAAGACAGGTACGATTAGCTGCCAAGAGCTTAACATTTCCCTCCTCAAAAGAAAGGTTTCGCAAAATCACTGCAATCTGAAGTACCCGCTGTCCTTCAATATCATTAATGCCCAGCTTTCGAGGTGGATGAAATAAAGACTCCCAAATCCATTCTCCTGATGCACCTTCATGAGACTTGTTTCTATCAGAAATAAGGTCACGGACTTCATTATCATCAACAATGTCTTTCCAAAACTTAACAAAATCTCTATCAGTCTTCTCCTTCCATTCTTCTCCAAATACAGTAGAAAAGGATCCTAAAGTGTCGTCAAACACCCCAGCATTAGCAAGTAATAAAGTGATGATTTTAGGGTCTTTTTCAAGTTGCATGACATGTTTGCTTTCATTTGACAGAAGAGTGCATACATTAATAGCAAAATCCACTTCATTTGGGAGTCCAGATAACAGTGAAAGCACCAATTTGTTATAATCATTTGGCGAATTGAAGTCCATAGATAGCCCATAACTTTGACGAAGATAATCTGATACACTGTGTTGCTGGTAATTGTAGGAAGATGGAATTGCACCAATAGGAAGCTGTGGCTTTGGATTGCCTGGTGGTACTTCATCATCATCCTCCCCAAAATGATGAACTTTCTCGTACTTTTCTAGGTAACGCAAGTAATACTGTTTTAAAGCAAAGGCAGCGTTAGAACAACTTCTGGGAAAGTTGAACTCTTCAACAATTTCTCCCCACTGATTCTTCTCAGAAACCTTCGCGAATCCGCCTAAAGTAGTGACTCTGGTGTAGAGACCGTGCAGATCCAGCTCCTTCCCACCCACCACGGGGATTTTCTTGAAAGGCGACCCTCGGCTGTGGTGGAACTGCCGCAGCTCGTCCAGGAAAGCGAGTCCCTTTCTCCGCTCGTCCGGAGGCGCCTTCCCCGTCGAGTTTGCCATTATTTTTTCAAAGGAGGTTTTAAAGAAAACCCAGATCGGTGTTTTAAAAGCGCCCCCCGCTCCCCGCGCTTCCTACCAGAGCCCAGAGCCCATTCCTCGGCCGGCGGCGGCGGGGCGCAGTCATGGGCCCTAGACAGTTCTTGAGAGACCTTAAAAGCGTGGTTTTGAGCTCTATATCTTCCATTTCTGACATTTGCATCCTGTTTCTTTGTCTCCGCATTTTTTTATCTTTTCTTGGTGCACCCCCTAGTGGTCTTTGTGCGCAGTCTTATAGTTAAGCCTTGATTGTTGTCGGTAATACCAGGGGTGATTTGACCTCCAGGCTAACTGGCTATGAGAGTCAGCTGTGTCTGCAGTGGGAGAGCTTCTGTGCTGGATCTCTAGGGCGGTGCTAATCTAGCCTTTGCCTGAGGCTATCCGGCAAATGGCGCTGCGCAGGGCTTGGGCGGGGCGGGTCCCCGGGGATCTACAGGGCTGGCCGGATCGAGCAGTTATGGCGGCTCTCAGTTCCGTCCCTAGGGGCTCTGCCTCTCAGAGTCCCAGCAACTGCTGCAAACCTCGGAGAGAAAGCTGCCTTCGAGTTCTGACCGAAGCCAGACAGTCCCGCTTCTCCCGTTTGAGTCTGGGTCCCTAGAGACTCGCCCGGATCTGGAGCTCAGAGTCTGAAACTCCCTCCCGATTGAAAACAACAACCCCACCCTCCGCCGCCAGCCCGCTCCGCGCGCGCACTCCGAACCTGAGTATTTACTTCAGCACTGCGCCTCCTCTGAGTCTGGGTATGATATTCTCTTTCCTCCTAGTTGTAGAATTTCCACTCAGCCAGCCTTCTGTGGTTCTGGATGATGTCTGTTCTGTCCTTTAGTTCTATCTCTGAAGTGGTTGTTCAAGGCAGCAATCTCCGGCATTAACCTATGCCGCCATCTTGGTTTCTCCCTCAGAAGTTTACATTTTAAATAAGTGAATAAGTGAGTGCAGACTCTTGTAATAAAAACAGTTGTCTACCACCCAAAGTCAAATCTTCTTCTGTCACCATGTATTTGACTGCCTTTACCCTTCACTAATATACAGATGATGTATCATAGAATAGTACACTTGGAACCTATATAATTTTATTAACCAATGTCACCCCAATAACTTTAATACATCCGCAAAAGAACCAATTGTGAGCTGGAGGGTCATTATTTCTGTCTTCTTAATGGAAGAAAATCACAACAGAAAAATCTGCCATTTAACATTTCTAGGTACCATCATCTCAGTTCTTTAATCAGTCAACCAAATCTCTTTGTTAAATACACTAGTAATAAATCCAATTGTTTAAAATCCAGGAAACAAAGACCCTTAAGTAACCTGCTTAGCTAATTCAGTTTTTTTCCTTAAAAACAATCACAACTATTTATTGGGCATTGCTTTCTTTTTCTTTTTCTTTTCTGTAATCCTCACCGGAGGCCCAAGGATTTGTTTCCATTTACTATTAGAGAGAGAGAGAGAGAGAGAGAAGGGGCGGGTGGGCGGAGAAATATTGATGTGAGAAAGAAACATTGATCGGTTGCCTTCCATATGTCCCCAACCAGGGATCAAACCCACAATCTAGATATGACACTCCAACCAATTGAGCCACCCAGCTAGGGCTTATTGAGCAACCTTGAGCACTTACAATAGGAAGAAATTTTGCTAAGTACTGGAAGGGATTAAAAAATGATATGGATCATGGCGCTTGGTTCATATTTGCTTCCTTTAAATGTTTTTTTTTTCCACTTTCAAGTATTTGAGGATGTGGGACATATTATTCTGATCAATATTATATTTATTTACCTCAGACAAATTTGGGGGATTTGAATTAGAGCACAACTGTTGATATCCACAAATTTCATTCCAGTAATCGTGCAGCTATTGTCTAGCCATCACCTACTATGACCACATGCAGGAGAGGGTATGGTACTTCCTAGTTCAGATTTTTAAAAAATTATATTTTTATTGATTTCAGAGAGGAAGGGAGAGGGAGAAATAGAAACATCAATGATGAGAGAGAATCACTGATTGGCTGCCTCCTGCACACCCTCCACTGGGGATTGAGCCTGCAACCCGGGCTTGTGCCCTGAGGGGGAATCATGCCTCCTGGTTCATAGGTTGACTCTCAACCATTGAGTTACACCAGTTAGGCCAGATTTATTTTTTTAAATATCTTTTATTGATTTTTTACAGAGAGGAAGGGAGAGGGATAGAGAGTTAGAAACATCGATGAGAGAGAAACATCGATCAGCTGCCTCCTGCGCACTCCCTACTGGGGATGTTCCCGCAACCAAGGTACGTGCCCTTGACAGGAATCTAACCTGGGACCCTTGAGTCCGCAGGCCAACACTCTATCCACTGAGCCAAACCGGCTAGGACGGGCCAGATTTATTTTAGAATCCCACATCACCACTGGACCTGTTAGTATGCTCAGAACCTACACGTTCTGAGGCAACTTGAGTGGCTACAAACAGCATGATGAAGCCTGTGGCTTGTGACAAATCTGGCTTCTGTCCTTGTGAGCAGAGGTTTCATTTTATGAGGCACCATGCAAGGATGCCATGAATTTGAATCCAGCTTCACTGTGCTTAGCACACGGTCTGGCACACTGGAGACTCAGTCGTATGTTAGTTCTGCCACCACAACCACCAGATGAGGGTAGGAAATTATTCCCTGAGGCTAAAGTGAGAATACCCATTATATTTACCTTGCAATGTTATTGCAGAAATTATAAGAAAAATTACATAAAAAGTAAGTAGGATAGTGGCCCCAAAATAGTAGATCTAAAGAAATTTCAGCTGCTATTATTACTGGTGTTAAGCTCACTATTATTATTACTATTGAGTTGGAAGAATATCTACTTCTGCTGAGCCACCCACTCAGTACAACACGCCATGGCAATGGAATATAGCAAATCTGCTCTTAGGCGTTGACATTTTCAAAACAGATAAAACTTCACATCAACAGGCTGTTTTGATAATTGGAAATTAACATCTTCTATATTTGTTTTGTAGGTGCACCATAAAAAGCTCTTCGCTAACACACTGATAGCATCTTTTATTTTCTTTCACTCATTCAGAACTTTTCTGTGCCAAACAATTAGTCATGCTTTCATCAAAAGCAACCACAACTAATGAAATGTTGATGTTCTACAGAACTTCATTATTCTTACCTTTTCATAGTTGTCATGGGAAATTAAGATCAGATCAGAGTCATAGCCTAAAGCATAGGAAATATATGATTCAGAAAACAGCACAGGATCTTTTTCTTGTGTCACATGATGGAGAGTGGCTTTGGGCTGAAAGCGTTCTTGCTCCACAGATTTATTCATTTTATGATTGTCAGAGTCATTGAAAGTAAATTCTAGATTGTACTAAAGGAAAATAACAAAGATACTAAATAGCAAAAGTCTCTTGTGTCTGACAGAAAATTTTTATGCTTTTGATTGATTCAGATCTTTGGGAAAAATGGAAGTTAAGTGATACACAAAACACAACATCAAACAAGGATGCTAGAGGTGAACATTGTTGCATGATACCTTTACTTTGTTGATTAGTTGCAAATTGTGTTCTAGTACTATATTCTCCTTTTTAAAAAAGATATTGCAAAATAACATAATTCTTAAGTTTTGTAGAGTTCGATATTATGGCATAATTCCCAATTGTATTATTTTTTCCCTTCATCCTTTCAGTAATAGATTCTTCAACATTCTAGTTGGACACACTGACTCCATTCCCTAAGTCCCCTAGAAGCTAGGTATGTGATTAAATTCCTGTCAGTGGGATGTGAGCTTCTCTTTAAAAAGAAGCTGGTTGCTAGGTATTCTCTTTCACTCTTCCTGTGGGGTGGAATGGAGAAGAGATGTGCAGACAAGAACAACATCATGGGGAATAGTGGAGCCACAAGGTTGAAGGGTACACCAAAAAGTGAATTTGACTCTATGAAAATTAGATCTTAACAACAACAACAAAAAAAATAGAAAAAAATTTAAAAGAGCTGTGTTTCCGGGGGACCTCATGGAACAGAGTCAGTCTTGCCCACAACCTCTGCACTCCTCTGTTAAAGGAAAATATGCTTCAATCCTGTTGCAACTAGGATTACCTCCTAATTACTAGGGATGCTCTAAAATTCCCACTTATACTATTTGCCCATTGGCTGAAGGGCTTGTGAGACACAGTATATGTTAAAAGGAAAAAGGAAAATGATTTCTCTAATGTTTTTTTTCCAAGGTGATAGATGAAGCTAAACTTCACATTACGAGAACTTTTTAGCTTAGTATGTGTCCTCAGCATTTGTACCAGTTTTCATTTTTCTCTTGTTTGTTAAATGAAATTAAAATGTGCTATAAGTTTTCAAAATGGCGGCCAAGTATGTGGATATATCCTGTGCCTTCTCATGGAGCAGATAGAAGTTACAACTAAATCGAATAACATCCACCCGGAATTGGCAAATTAAACACAACTGGTGAGACAATCCACAGCTGGAAAAGGCAGAGGCTGCCTGGAGAATGGTAGGATTGAGGATCTGGGCTGGAGAGATGCGCGACCACGGGGATGAGAGGGTCAGAGGGAACCTGCTCTGCACCAAGTCTGTGTTTCTTGGGGACACGAGTAACACTCAACTGTGGAAGGGAGGTCCACAGGGCTGCTAGCAGCCAGGGAATCTAGATATAAGTCCACAGCTGTGAGAGGCTGCACCCAGAAAGGCAGCCTGAAGAACTGCCAGAGCTGCATGGTACTGGGTAGGCGGAGGGGTTTGGGGAGAGAAATTCACAGTGGTGCAGTTGTTTTGCCTTTGTAGTTTCCCTGATTTTACTCACTAAACCCAGTTCATAGGACCTTTCCATTACAAACACTTACTGAGGCTGTGGTGCAGGTAGAGGTGCAGTTTTGTGGAGGCTGGGAAGAGGCTGTAGAGAGGATCAGGACAGGGAGAGGTGACCAGGAATCTGGCACTGACACTTCTGGACCCTCCAACCCTAAACAGACATTTTTTCTCCTGAAAAGCCAGCCCCTTCCAGCAGCCAGAGGGCAACTAGTGCAGCTGCACCCAGCCTCAAGCTTTGCAGA